GGTTGAGCTATAGGCGCCGAGCCATTCTTGGTAATTTTTGAACAAGGGACCCAGAATTTCACTGTGGTCCAGCCCACAGTCAACCTTCAACAGACCTCACCTCGCCCCCAAAACACATATAAACATACCCATGCACCTTGCATTCATGGTTTGCACACAGACACACACTAGCCTACGACCAAAGATGGGGGACAGATGCCTTGCCAGCAGTCCCCATAGACTACCCGTCTCAGGGCAAGAAGGGCCCCCAGTGTAGGGGACAGCAACATGTGGCCTAGACTCCCCTCACCTGATCTACAGCCCAGAGGCAGAGGGGAGGCCCAGGCCTGGGTGAAGGGGATTGGCAGACATAGATTTGGTCTACACCCTGGGCTGAGGTCATGGCAAAAGGCCTTCCTAGTCACCAGGGCATCCAGTGGGAGTGTCCCACTCATGGGATAGTCCCAGGAACTGAAGTCCAAAGGAAGAGGAGGGCCTGAAGTGGTGGATCACACCTGCAATCCCAGCACATGGAGGCCAAGGCAAGAGGATTGCTTGAGCCAGGAGAGCAGACTGAGCAAGAGTGAGACATTGTCTCCACTAAAAATAGAAAAATTAGTTGGGCATGGTGGTGGGCACCTCTACTCCCAGCTACTTGGGAGGCTGAGGCAGGAGGATCACTTGGGTCCAGGAGTTTGAAGCTGCTGTGAGCTATGATCACACTACAGCACTCCAGCTTGGGCAATGCAGGGAGACTCTGTATCAAAAAAAAAAAAAAAAGAAGAAGAAGAAGAAGAGGAGGAGGAAGAGGGAGGAGGAGGGAGAAGGAGGAGGGAAGAGAAATGGGGAGGGGAAGGAGGGAAGAACAAGGAAGAGGAGGAACAGGGAGGAGGAAAGGGACAGAGGAGGGACAAGAAGGGGTTAGTGTGCCCACAGGCAGGTAAACCAGCGCGGGACCGGCGGGCAGTTTGGGAGGCGGTAGATCCGGCAGAGGACCTGGGCTCAGGGGCGCTGGCCCTCTGCTTCTCCCTGGTGGCGATGCAGAGAAATGCAGTCATGTCCCCTAAGGCGGTCCCAGGTGCTGCCCTCCGGGGACTAGGGCTGGACAGGAGCCCCCAGTGCACAAAGCCCACTTGGAGGCCCCCTTCCCTTCCATGCCAACTTGGGGCTTCCCTTGTCCTTTCCCTTAGAGGTCTCTGGCGGATCTGGGTCCCAGGAGGCAATCAGAGAAGCAGGGAGCAGACAGGCCCCCAGGCCGAGAGACCATCACAGCTCTGCCATGAAAACACATGGTGCTGGTGGCCCCTGGAAACTTCTGGCAACACCCCCCATCAGGCTCTGGCCCCTTTCCTCCTGGCCTGACTCAGCTGGCCCTAGGTGCCCAAGCCAAGGGTGGACACTTAAGCCCCTGGGCATTCCTGAGGGGCAGCTGCACATGGTGGGTGGGGGACAGACACAGGTGGGGCAGGAGCCACAAGGGCTGAGAGGAAGGGCCAATGGCAGAAGCCCCACTGTATCCTTCCTCAGAGAGGCCAGACCATACTTGGAACCAAAACAACACACTGCAACCTCACCCCAATGGTGAGGGCAGGGGTCAGCAGTCAGGGTCAGACAGACTCGGCCTCCAGTGGTGACTAAATAAGCCTGCCACTCACCGCATCACCTTTATACTCCTTGAAGGCCAGCTGGGCTGGGGGCCCTCCTGCAGGGAGCAGGAGCCACTGGGTGGGTACAGGAGGTGCCCTCAATGGGACTCCCAGGCGGGAGTAGGGTCACACTGCTAGTGTAGTGAGGCAGGAATGGACCCTGAGCTCTCCTGCACCCCAGGCAGCCGAGGCTCTTCTAGAGGTGCTCCTGGGTTTCAAGGCAGGTAGGGACAAAGGGGGAGGGGTCTGGTTCTTGCACTAAGCCTGGTGCCTGGGTGCAGCCCAGTGTCCCCAAGACCCCTGTGCCCGGCTCGGCGCCTATAGCTCAACCGGCTAAGGCGCCAGCCACGTACACCTAAGGTGGCGGGTTTGAATCCAGCCCGGACCCGCCAAACAACAATGATGGCTGCAACCAAAAAATAGCTGGGCGTTGTGGCGGGCGCCAGTGGTCCCAGCTACTTGGGAGGCTGAGGCAGGAGACTCGCTTGAGCCCAGGAGTTGGAGGTTGCTGTGAGCTGTAATGCCACGGCACTCTACCCAGGGGACAGCTTTGAGGCTCTGTCTCAAAAAAAAAAAGACCCCTGTGCCCCTCTCCCTCTACAAAAGCCTGCACACATCACCCCATGAGCAGATGAGCCTGCCTGAGATTAATCAGAAAATTCATCAAGGGAACTAGGGCAAGTCAGGGTGAAGACTGGGATCACTTTGTGCCAGGACTTACGACCAAGTCCAGAATTCACAGCCACTGTCCAAATCCAACAAGCAGCCAGGTAAGGCCAATGTGTCAGAGCTCAGCAGGCAGGGGGAAGGTCTTTCTCCAACACCTTGGTCCCAAAGTCCAGTCCCTCAACCACAGGAGTCCCCATCCCCCACTGGGGGTGCCCCAACAAAACATGCTCTGTCTAACTATCACAGCCCTGGGCTATACATGGATGAGACTCAGAAGTAGCCCCAATGCCATGCCACCACACCGTCTGGCCTAGCCTGGTCCTGACATACCTGGGCCATGTAGTGCTCAGTGTCCCTGCAGGCTGGGCAAGTGGTCAGCATGGCCAAGGCAAGCCCAAACTCTGTGGAAGGGAAGATGGGCCAGATGGAACCCTGCCTTCCACCTTCAGCACACAGCTGTGCCAAGGGAGGTGCTGGAGTGTTGGCCCTGATGGGATAGAGAACCCCCACCCCAGCCAGGTCCCTGCAGGGCAGAAGGGGCAGCAGAGAACACACATGTTCAGGGATATATGCTTATAGTACAGCAACACGCAGACACACACAGACACATACAGACAGACACGGGGGTCCCAGACCCTGAGAGCAGCCTGTGTGTCCATTTCCCACAGGACACCCTGAACCCCACCCTACCCTTCTCTTTAGTCCAATTTCAGGACCCATGGGGCCATAGGTGCTGACCCACAAGGCTCACCCATCTGCCACCAGCCCTACTGAGGCACTGTCCTGTGTCACCACCGGGAACTGCGGTGGAGGGCGGAGGTCACTTGGAGGCTAAACGAAGCACCCATCACTCTCCTCCATACCAACTCAACCCCTAATGCCTCACCCCTCAGACCAAGCCCTTCGGAGCCTTGGGGGTACAGTGACACTCTAGCTGTCCCAGGACAGGAGGGGACCCAGAGGCTCCAAACACCAACCTGGCAGAGAGAGGGCCCCAAGACACCTGGGCTGCCTGGGGGCATGTGAGCCATAATAAGGCTACAGACACCTACCTGGCCAGACCAAAGTCCCACTGGAACAGGGACCTCCCCATGGCCTGGGGGCAGTTGCCACTGGAGCCTGTCCCTATAGCCAGGATGGGACAGCTTGGATGGAAGAGAGTGGAAATAGCTCACCCTGGTCCTCCAGCAAGAGGCAGGGAGGGCAGCCCCTATCCTGGGTGAGGAGCTGAAAACATCCAGGCCCCAGGTGGCTAGCAGCCCCCCACACACACACACACAAAAAGCACACGCAGTCTAGGTGAGACCACCCCCCTCCCACTCAAGCCTGAGCCTCTGCAGGATGGAGATACCCATCCAACCTTCCCACTCCCTCCAGAGGAGGCTACCAAGGTCCCACCAAGGCCAACTCCAAGCTCCGTGTCTTCCCCGTGTCCCTCCCCAGCACCTGCAGGTATTTCTCTATGGAGACAGTGGGGGTGGAAGGGGCACAATTCAGACCTTGGGAGGCACCTTCCCACCACCCCAGGCTCTAGGGGCAGCCCTACCCTAACCCATGCCACCTGGAGCCCTGCACAACAGTCTCAGGGGCACACACGGCAGCCCAGGCAGTGAGATGGCAGAGAGTGACCTGCCCAAATGCCACTGGATATGTGGGTCACTAGGTTATGACCAGTTCAGCCTCCACCACAATTGGAAAGACCCTGCTTATGATGCCAGGTCTCTAAGGCCACTTGGACTAAATGTGTGTCATCCGGGCTGCAGCAGGTGGTGCCAGGGTGTTTGCGCCAGGAAGGTGTCACATGTGTGCGCTCAGCCACGTGTGCTGCAGCACCCCTCAGAGTGGGTGAGAATCCCCAGGAGAATCCCCCAGCCACTGGTCACATACCCTCTTGGTGGCCAGCTTCTGGTCCCACCTGAGCTTTACAGATGAGGAAACTAAGGCTGCAATCCAAGACCTGCAATCTAAGCAGGGTCTTCCCAATCCCAGCTCAGTGCCCAACCCCACTGTCCGCCGCTCCCCTGTGGGTGGCCTGTTTCCATGGCAACTCCTAGGGTGGGAGGGGCTGGGCAACTGAAACTTCACCCGGGGTTTCCCTTGTCCCCTGCCCTGAAGTGACCCCTTCAAGCAGGTTCCAAACCACATGTAAGCAAACTCTCTCTCTCCCTACCCAGTCATAGGCGGCCGGACACCTCATTTGCATGAAACCCCCTCAGAAGCCAGGTCTCTGCCGACACTGCATACCCAACTACCCCTGCTCACCCACAGAGGCCCAGGCCCAGGCCCCAGCCTGCTCCTGTCCCCTAACACACATGGCAGCAGGGACAGGCTACCCAAGGCTGAGACAGGGCTGAAATCTGAGGCTGCCCAGCGTCCTCAATTCTAGCCTGATTGGGGCAAAGGGCAGGCCTGAGCCACAACAGAGCCAGGGGCCTCCATGCACATGTGAAGGGCTCTGTGAACACGTGGTGTGGGGTCCAGAGGGGCTGAGGAAGGAGCAGCCTCAGGTTCTTAGGGGCCCCCTGGGAAATCATGGAGCCTACACACTAGGAATTCCAGGAATGTCAACTTGGCTGGGCCAGGTTTTAGGAGGGAGGCTCACTGCCCAAAGACTCCCAGAGTAAACAACTCCTCCTGGCAGGAACCAGGCAGGACAGGCCCAAGGCCCCTCCCCTAGGAAGCCTTCAGCCCCCACCCACTCCCCAGGGCTCACCCTGCTGACATCCTGAATCCCACGCCCCTGCTGTCTCACCTCACCTCCGCAGCCACCAGCAGCCTGGGCAGCTGAGCCTGGATCTGACCCCAAGCCACAGGCCCTATCCTTTGGGCCAGGGCAGGATGTGCGTCCACTCAGCCCAGGGGGAGGGAGCAGGGAAGGGAAGTGGCCTTGTCTCGTGTCTCTGCACGTGGCTGGTGGGGGATGGCTAATGCCCCTGGGGAAGCTGTCTAGGGTCCAGGCCAAGGAGGGAACACAAACCCCAGGTGGGCAGTGGCTCTGGCCAGCTCCATGCCCCTCCCCCTGGAATTAAGGCAAAACACCAGCATTTGCCCTGAAAGAAGTTAGCTGAAGCCTAGGACTCAACACAGGCCCCAACCCAATGCTCCAAGACCCAATCACCCCTGAACCCCCAAAGATGCCACTGTGCAACACATCCACCCCCACAGCCCACAGCTCACCTCCTCCAAGGAGACTTCCCTGCCTCTTCCTGCACACTGATCCCCAGCCCTCCCATCCAGGGGCACCCACCGGCACAGCAAGAAGGTGCTTGTGCCAAGATGCCTCCCTATTCCAGAGACACAAGCACGCAGTCTCTTAAGTCCCCAGTGGTCCCATCACCTCCAGGGTGAAGCAGACCCTTCCCTTTCAGCTGGCCCTGCAGGTACAGCCTCCAGGACTTTGCCCAAGGGTGCCCTGTGCCAAGATCGAAAACCACTTCTTCCAGGACGTCCTCCTGGACATCTTCCTGTGACCCATCTTCTCATCCTCAGAAGTGCGTTAGAGCGTGTGATGACCCAGACAGACCGTGAGCTGCCCAGCACAGCCCCGCCAGAATTGCGCATATCTCACCGCCTGAATACCCCTATCCTCCGCACCCTTCCCATTCCCCTTCCCGGAAGGAGCGGCTAGGAAGATTGCAGACAGCGGCGAATCCAGGCGGGCGCGGTTAGGGGGGAGTCGCCGCCCTCACCCTGCCATCGAGGCTGCGGGCAACTACCAGGCCTGGGGGATCTTATTGTGCGGCCCGGATCCAAGGTGGCGCCCCACGGGGCCGGGACGCGACGAGATCGAAACAGCCCAAACTCGGTGGCAGAGACCCCCATACTCCACGGGCAGGGGCTTCAGTCGGAGGCTCCTCCTTCCCGGCACAGCTAGGAGGGGAGGTAGGAAGCTCTGCCCGCAGCCACAAGACCTCCGACAGCCCCTCCCTCCCCGGCCCGCCGGCATAGCAGCACCTCCAGCCCCGGCCCCCCACTTGTTGCTGTGTCTCGGCTTGGGACTTGAACTCGCGCGCCCCGGCTCACGTCCTGGTGTAGTCGGAATGGGCTTGGGCGCCGCGGCGGCAGGACCCCGGGCGCACCCAGAGCGGCACCCTACCTGCGAGCCGCGGGCCGCTAGCAGCCCGCGCCGTCTGCTCCCGCCGCGCAGCTGTCAGTCAAGCGGACACGAGAAAGGCGAACCGCTGCCGCCGCACTCTGATGGCCCCTCTCCGACGCCGTAGCTCCAGGACGTACTAAGGCGGCGAGCGGGGGTTGCCGTTTGCTTCTCCCGAGGACACGGAGGCCCCAGAACCCCAGTCCGCGCGAAGAAAGCTCGTCGTGGTGGATCCCGATCGTCCGCAGGGCAGAGACCTGCGGAGAAGGGTCTGGGCCTGGTCTGGGGCAGAGACGATTCCCGGCGCCGGGCCTGGGGCAGAGCCGTTCCCCCGCGCCAGTGGGCGCGCCTGGGCGGGGCCTGTAGCGTGGTAGCACTGCGGGGTCTCAGTGTGAGACGCGCCGCCGAGCCGCAGCCATGATTATACCTGTTCGCTGTTTCACCTGCGGCAAGATCGTTGGGAACAAGTGGGAGGCCTACCTGGGGCTGCTGCAGGCCGAGTACACCGAGGGGTGAGGCTCCGGGCATGGCGGGGAGGTCCTGGCCTGCAGGGTGGGCCGAGTCGCGGGGGTGGGAGACCCGGTCTACCGGGCTGGGCACTCATGGCTAGACTCTCAGGCCTGAACTCCAGCGAAGTTCTGACCTACTCAGGACAGCATCGTCCCCCAACCTCTGAGGGAACAAGGGGAGGTGGGCATCAAATTACTGGCGTCTTAGGGATGTGGAGATATCCCATCGGGTCAGGCACCACTTCTCCCACGATGTAGCCCTCAGCCTCCTCCCTGTCCACTTGCTCCCTGACCTCCTGTCCCTGCTACAAGGTCCACCTCATGTCCTGCAAAGCTTGTGGGTCCTTTGCGATGGAGGGCAAACTTCTGACCACCCACTCACTGTTAATCGGGCTTTTCCTGTTAGCCGTTAGTTCTGCAGCGGGGCAGAGTGCCTAAGCCTCCGCTTAGGCCATCTGTGGATGGCTGTGTCTTGGTCACATTTGAAACACTGGGGCTCGTGTGTGCCAGTCAGTGTGTCACATATGCAAGGGAAGAATGTAGGTGGGCTGGGCAGGCTGCTAGAATGACCCACAGGCAGGGGGCCACTATCTGGCCTCCCCTTTCTCATGCTGCCATCTCTCCACACTAGAACCATTGGTGTGGGAATGTTCTGGAGGCCTTAAGGGTGACTGGGATCAGGGACGAGGGAAATTAAGGCTTCTGATGGGCTCGGGAAATGGGAGCAGCAGCTGCCTGCAAGGACTTTGGGGAACAGAGGTGAGAGGCGATCTTGCAGCATCTGAGTGGAGCTGGCCAGGACACACTGCCTGCATGTTCTGGGGACTGCTAGGGTGAAGCCCATGTAGGATGGAAAGCAGCTGAGGTGGCTCGGTGCCTGTAGTGCAGTGGTTAGGACACCGGCCACACGCACCAGGGCTGGCAGGTTTGAACCCAGCCTGGGTCTGCTAAACGACAACAACAGAAATAGCTGGGCATGTGGCAGGTGCCTGTAGTCCCAGCTACTTGGGAGGCTAAAGCAAGAGAATTGCTTAAGCCCAAGAGTTTGAGGTTGCTGTGAGCTATGACATCATGATACTCTACCCAGAGCCACAGAGACTCTGTCTCAATATTAAAAAAAAAAAAAAAAAAGGGGGGGGGAGAATAGGTTCAGTGGGTAGGATTTGAATCCAGCCCGGGCCTGCCAAACAACAATGTCAACTACAACCAAAAATTAGCTGGGCATTGTGGTGGGCGCCTGTAGTCCCAGCTACTTGGGAGGCTGAGGCAAGAGAATCGCTCAAGCCCAAGAGTTTGAGGTTGCTGTGCACTTGACACCATAGGGAGACTCTGTCTCAAAAAAAAAAAGAAGGCTCAGCACCTGTGGCTCAAGTGGCTAAGGCGCCAGCCACATACACCTAAGGTGGCGGGTTTGAATCTAGCCCAGGCCCGCCAAACAACAATGACGACTGCAACCAAAAAATAGCCAGGCATTGTGGTGGGCGCCTGTGGTCCCAGCTACTTGGGAGGCAGAGGCAGGAGACTCACTTGAGCCTAGGAGTTGGAGGTTGCTCTGAGCTGTGATGCCATGGCACTCTACCCAGGGGGACAGCTTGAGGCTCTGTCTCAAAAAAAAGAAAAGAAAAACAGCTGAGTTGCAGGACCTGGAGAGCTGTCCCTGGGAAGTTTGCACTGAATGGGGGTGTCAGGGAATTGGCAGCTTGGTGGACCTGGGCTTCTGAGTTCCCTTAAATGACTTTATTTCATATAGATTCGCAATAAATGTTTGTGTATATTCATGTATTGCACGCAAGTAAACATGGCCCAAGTCAGGGGCCACCAGACTCCATCCCAGGTAGCTGGTTTCAGTTTAAGTTTTCTAGGTAACTCCAAGCAGGATGGTGCTGCCAGGCCTCAGTCCTGCTTGGAGTTACCTGGAAAACTTAGTCCCCTGGTTCTGTCCACCCTGCCCCTGCCAGAAGGGGTGAGATGGGCAGGCAGTGCTGCCCAGAGATGGCTTGGATGCTGGCTGCAGGCCTGTGCAGACCTGAGACCACATAAACCCCACCCAACAACACCACCCCCCACCACTTGACACAGGGACGCCCTGGATGCCCTGGGCCTGAAGCGCTACTGCTGCCGCCGCATGCTGCTAGCCCATGTTGACCTGATCGAGAAGCTACTCAACTATGCGCCTCTGGAGAAGTGAACCAGGAGCCCTCCCTCACCATTCCACCCCTCCTGCTGTGTTCACCATGAGCAGTCACTGTGATTTTAGGGTTCTCTAAACTGAGGTGTCAAGAAGCCGGGAGCAATGCCTCACCACAGCACATGGGCCTGCATCCCCCACCCTGGAGAGGACATCCAGTAAATGTCTTTTGGAACCACCAGAAGGCCCTTCTCGGGGCCCTGTGTCCATGTTCCTTTGCCTCCTGGCCCTGTGTCTCCTTTCTCTGGGGGTGGGTCCCGCCTGGCCTGTCTTGGGGACCTCTGCTTCCACTTCCCTGGTCCCATCCCCCTACTAGGATGTCAGTGGCAAGAACTGGCCCACCCTCCCACTGTCACAGAGCCTGTGGCAGTAGGCAGAATGCTCAGCTGGCTGGTCACTGTCCCCTGCAGGCTTTGGGCTGCCTATTCCACAAATGCCCCATAGGAGGTGCTGCCAGTGGCACCTTCCACTTGGGGCTCTGAGGCCTCTCCACACCTGCTCCTACCTGGCTGTTGGAGTGGGGACTGGTGCTAGGTACTGCCCAGGAGGAGACAGTGCCACCTGTGAGGCAACCACTCCAAACCTGAAGAGTGGTCTCCTTTTTGAGTGTGCTTGCCCATGGACCAACCAAGGCACAGCCAGCCAAGTGCATCCTGCCCCTGCATCCCTGCCCACATGCTCTGGGTGTTCTTTAGGCTGAGCACAGGGCTCTCATGTCTTCTCTCAGAATCTAAAGTACTGGATCTGGAACCTGAACAGTGTCTGCTGCAGTTATGGCTGCCCAGGCCAGTTGCCGACTCCTGAGGGTCCTACTCCCAGAACCTTTCAGGCTGCATCCAGCCCAGCAGGCAAGGCAGGAACCAACCTCCTTGCAGAGGGCAGGGAATGGTTCCCCAAGATCCTAAAACTGGGCCAGTAAGGTGGCCCTGAAGAGGCTTCACCATCTGGGTACCCAGTACACCAGGCTTAACATACTGTGAACTGGCCAGGATGAGCCCCAGGGTCCTCCTGTCCAGCTCAGGCTGAACCTTGGGGAGGAGGAATTGTTATCCTAAGCTGCGGGGCAGATGGGACCTAGTACCCTCCACCTGGCAGAGGCAGAAGGGTTCTAGCTGGGGGCAGAAAGAGCAGCTCTTTTGGGTACCTACAGTGCTGATGTCTGCCCAGATGTGTGCTGTGAGGTTCTCTAGGGGGAGACTGGGGTCTGCCTGGGGGTATATAAGCCTGAGGGACAGGATTCAGGGCACTTCTACCCCACCCCCATACTGCTAGCACAAGGCATGGTGTCTCCTCCATGTACCCCTGAGCCCTTGCTGTCTCTTGGCAGGTCCAAGGCCATACTCTTCCCATCCCCAAGGACTGTGGCCATAGCATCTTTCCACCATCCCTACCATGGGCCCTCCCCTCCTTGTGAGTACTCTGCCCACACTGGCCAACCTGACCCTGGTATGAGCCCTCCTGTCTCCCACCCTTTTCTGTCCTGACACCCACCTGTTGTCAGCATAGTAAGTGCACCCATCCACTCCACAGCTTTTTGTCCCGACACCCACCTGTTACCAGCGTAGTAGGTGCACCCATCCACTCCACAGCAGGTTTATTGAGCACCTGTTAAGTGGCACAGGTGACTCCAGGAATAAGGGATACAGCAGTGAACAAACTCCCACACAGGGATATGGGGACAGCAATGCACATGTGAACGTGGGGTATTTTAAAGGCTGGTAACAGTGGGAAGATGGCAGGGACTCTGGCTATTAGGAGCAGGCAAAGTCCAGGTAAGGTATGACTGAGTCTGGTGGGAGACACAGGCCCAAGAGTCAGGGGTGCTCTGTTTGCCCCAAATGTCAGGGGGCCATGTGGCTCCAGGAAAAGGCACCTGAAGAGCCTGGACAAGACCAGCCAGTGGCACAAAGGGCCTCACCCCATCCAGCAAGGCCCTTCCCCACCTGCCTCTGACCCCCAGACAGGGATGTGTCTGGGGAGTCCAGTCCAGACCACTAACTGGAGGAGCACCATGAGACCCCATGTCAGCCCCCAACAGAAGTGACCTTTGGGAGAGGACGCGTTATTGTCCAGACCCACCCCACCTGGGCCCTGAGGGACAGGGTGGTCACTGCCTCCTCAGGCCTCAGGACTTTGGTGTGCAGTGAAAGGCATGTGAAGCCGCCTCTAGGATTGGGGTTTCCAGAGGTAGGAGTGATGGCACAGGGGACTCCTGCCCCCTGGAACTCAGTAGTTGGGGGTGAAACTGCAGCAGGACATCGGGAAGCCCAGCCAAGCTCTAAGCAGGTCAGTAGTGCTCCAGCTTCAGGCTCCTGTACAGGCAGCACGTGAAGATCATGCCAAAGACCTGTGTACAGAGCCAGGGCGGTGAGTAGGAGCCGAGCTGCCCCCCATGTCCACCTCCAAGGCCCTCGTTTTTCCCCACCTGCACACAGGCAATGCCAATGCCCACAGCCCCGATGATCCGCAGGTGTTCCTGGATAAAGGTCTCCAGCTTGGTGATGCAGCCGCCCTGGCAAGGTTGAGGTGGGATGCTGAAGGGGCCCTGGTGGTTCTTCCCAGGGGGCAGCACCTAGCACTCAGGTACCAACCCCAACCAGCTCAGACCCTCCCTAGGGTGCCCACCTACCTCCACCTTGTAGATGTTGGAGGCATGGTCCCGCTGTCCGCACCCATCAACTACTGTCTTACAGCAACTGTCAGGGACCACTCGGCCACCTGCTTCCCCTGAGCGGATCCATTCACTCTCCCGCCAGTCCTGTGAGTTGTTGCTGCCACAGCAGTGGAACTGCAGTGGAAACACAGCACAGGCTAAGCCTTCCTGCACACACCACTGTGCTCCCACAGGTATAAGAGGCCTTGGTGGGCACGTGGGCCTCCCACCACTACCCACTCACCTCCTGCTGCAGTTTGTCTACAGCACTCGTCACACCCTCATGGCCTGGCTGGTGGTACTGCTTGACCATGGTGTCCTTCAGGTTTTCCTTGAGTTCTGTGTTCAGCTGCGGGTAGGGTGCAGGGAACCTCAGCTCCAAATCTAAGGCCCTCCAAAGTGGGGTGGGGAGAGCAGCCCAGGAAGGACTCAGAAGGGAAAGGCTGGGGTCAGAGAATAACATAAGGGGTTGGGTGGGACTGGGAGAGTCACCAGGGTGACCGAGGGAAGGGCAGTCAAGGTCTTCAGAGCCCCTGGACACGTGTGCCCCTGTGAGTCCTAAGGTAGGCAGTTTGGCTGCTGCAGGCAGGGTATCTACCCCTGCAGGCTCCATGGTCAGCTCTGGAGCAGTGTGGGTAGAAGTGTCATGAGTGGATGTTGAGTCCCCATGTGGCCTGTCCAGACCCTCACCTGCTGATAGTAGACGTAGGCCAGGACTCCAGCAATGACTTCCAGCAGAAAGATGAGTAGCAACAGGATGAAGTACTGGGGGTAGAGATAGCCCTGTCTTTGGAATCCCAGTGCTTGGCCACCCCCGAGCACAGCCCCCACCTGGCCCCAAGTGGCTACAGTCTGAGGGCTCCAAGCAGCAGGTGGGGCTGGAAGCTGCCACACTCTCTCATGCTTTCTCAGAGAGCAACTGTCTTCCTGCCATTGACTCAGCTGGGACACAGGGACCTGAAGGACTGGGCTGGTGGGGAAAGACCACACCCCTAGGTGCACAATCAGCCCCCCTAGGGCCCCAATCAGCTCCAGGCAGCTAGTCAGGAGCTGCTGCCTAGGCACCCCATGCTGCCACCCCCACCCCGTGCCACCAGGCACTGCTGACCAGGCGCAGTAGGTTCCGCCGCTCCTTGAAGGTGGCACAGCAGCCCAGGACACCGGTCACCATGACAACAACACCAGCCACCACTAGGATGTAGGCTATGGCCAGGTAGGTGCTCGAGGCCAGCAGGCTGATGTAGTCACTCTTGAGGGCCAGCGTCCAGATGCCCACTGCCATGACGGCCAGGCCAGCCAGCTGTGAGCAGTGCACACCAGTCACCACATCTGAGCCAGGCCTGAGGTATGGGTGTAGGGGCTGCAGGCCCAGTGTCCCCGCCTCACCCAGAAGCAGCAGTTGTATGTGAAGAGCAGGTACTTGAGGCAGACAGTGCCACATGTGTCCTTCTTCTCGCTGAACTCACCCATCCTGGGGCGGGGGGTCAGACAGCCCACAGCACCAGGACCCTGACTGGGCAAACAGCTAGACCTAGACACCAGTGGGGACAGAAGGGAAGACACAGAGATGCCTAGGCTGGCCTGGAGGTGGGAGCTGAGCCAACCATCTGTGCGGGAACAGCTGGGAAGGGGCCTCCATGGGAACTAGGACACAAGTCAATTCCCAGGGCAGCCAGTTTGGGAGCCCTGACCTCCAGTAGCCAGGGCGGAGACAGGAAAGGGTCATGGAAGACCCTCAGCTATCACTGGCTGACTCACCCTGCTGGTAGCCAGGGAAGAAGCCCCAGGGAACATCGGGGGTGAGCTCACATATGCCCTGCCTTCCCCCAAGACCCCCACAGTCCCTCAGCTCCACATCAGGCAGGAGCCCAAAGCAGAAGGGGCAGCATGAGGCAGCCATTCAGAGACATATTCCTAGAGGCAGCAGAGGGTTGAGAAGCTCACTATGCTCCCTGGGCCTGTTTCCTGCCTGTTAAGGGGCAGCCCTTCCTCCCCAGCCTGAGAAAGCAGACAGAGGCCCTGGCAGGTGGAGCCTGGCAAACTTGGGCTAGAAAGGGAGGGACAGTGCCAACCAGAGCCCTCCAGGTAAGCCCTGCCCATCAGGGGAGTGAGAGAGGTGCTCTCAGTCAGGGCACCTGGAAGTGAGGGCGGAGCTCAGGCAGCAGCTGAGCGCCCTAGGCCACATTTCCAGACAGAAGCCTGGCTGGACTTTCACCACCTAGCTGGCTCTGCCCCACCCAGCACTCACCAGGCTGGCTGGGCACAACTTCTGTAGGACAGGTGGACAGATGTTCCCAGGACACTTGGCTAGAGCAGCAAGGATATATCACAGGTCACCAGTCTGGCCTTCCAGCCAGAGTCACTTCCACAGCAGGCAGGGTTCACTCCGCAGGCAGAGAGAGGAGTGACCAGGCCCAGTATTTCAGTCTGGCTTAGGGTGGGGCAGGGCAGAGGATATTTCTGGACAGTATGATCCTGGGAGGAACTTTATGCCTTCCCCCAGATGTCCCACCCTGGGCTTCAGCTCTAGACCCGTCACTACACCCCATTCTCTCCTCAAACAGTTGCTGCAGCCTGTAAAAGAGAGAGGCACAGGCCGAGACAGGATCCCCCTTGAGCTCAGGAGCTCAAGACCCACCTGAACAAGAGCAAGGCCCCCGTCTCTACTAAAAACAGAAAAACTACAAAAACTACCCAGGCATGGTGGCAGGTTCCTGTAGTCTCAGCTACTTGGGAGGCTGAGGCAGGAGGATCACTTGAGCCCAGGGGTTTCAGGTAGCTGTGATGGAGGCTGATGCCACTGGACTTGAGCCCAGGCAACAGAGAGAGATCCTGTCTCAAAAATAAAAATAAGGGCGGCACCTGTGGCTCAAAGGAGTAGGGTGCTGGCCCCATATACCGAAGGTGGCGGGTTCAAACCTGACGCCGGCTTAAAACTGAAAAAAAATAAAATAAAATAAAAAATAAACATAAACGGAAGCTGAGGCAAGTAGATTGCTTGAACTCAGGAATTCAAAACCTGTCTGGGCTCGGCGCCTATAGCTCAACCGGCTAAGGCGCCAGCCACGTACACCTAAGGTGGTGGGTTCGAATCCCCAGCCC